AATACTACTGCTCCACAGAGGTGCCTACACTGGTAGAGAGAAAGAATATATCTCAGTCAGAATAGCGGATTAATTGTTATTCGCTTTGTTAGTAGTGGGGAGGATAAATCACCCTCAGTTTGCCGAGTACGGCTAGTCTTCAGTGGGGCCATTGCAACTCACTTTTGTCGGTGGTCAGACTCAGACGTCGAAGAAAAATAAACACGATAAAACCAATCATGTGCGATTTCGCATGGTTAGGTGTTTATTGGTCTGTTATATCCCACGTACGGTTACACTTGTCAGCGCCGGTCACTGATATCAATTCAGTGGACATGTTGAGAAACACACCCGTGCCGAGAAGTTAAATCCTTTCGGCTGGGTCACAGGTGGCAAAACGACAAGACGGTGCAGTAGAGACAGTAACGGCTCAAGTGGACTACGGTATCCAGGGTGGGCGTATCGGTCGTTTCCAATTGGTCGAGGAAACAGTCGGTAGTTACAAACTGTGTAGTAGTGTTAAAATTAGTGGAAAGCAGATAGATCCACAATTTTCAAAATGGCAAGGAAGATCATTACTGCGTGACAATCTGATTTCTGCTGTATTGATATCGTCAGCAAAAATATCGAAACGAATAGCTATGTAAGACCATTGATGAATACCGAAAACAGATGTGGCCCTAGACCAGAGCTATGAGGCACACCGTACACGATTTTATGGTGTTGGCGAAACAGCTCCAAAGCGACTTACCGACTCCGTAACACTGGAGCTTGGAAAGGAGAATCAGATGATTCAATACAATCGAATGCTTTCAAAAATCCTGTGTAGATCACATCAACCTCCGTTCCAGTGTCAGCCGACTCGTTCCGGCCACTCCGCGGGATCAGTAAATTCAGTGTGTACGATCGCTGTCAACGGAAGCAGTGCTACTCAGAAGTAGTAATGTTTCAGTTTTCCTGAGAGCCTACCAACGCATCCGCAATGATAAGTGCCATGATCTTAGATAGCATTGGGAGTAACAAAAGTAAACCGTAGTTTGAAGGCTCGGTTCTGTTTCTTCCTTTGTGGATTAGGGTGTATTTTTTAAGCTTCACATGCAGTAACCTTCTTCTGATCTAGGCACTACTACACGCACTGAAACAAAAGTTCCTCCAGTTCCCTTGCTGCAGATCCCAGTGCTTTTAGCTTAATGCTTGCGCAGACATGTCAGCTTTTGCAATACGGCTTCAAGGGTAACAAATGTGTAGCTGAATACTGGTGGCGAAGGAAAAACTGGAAGATCCTCTAATTGCAAATCCCGCAAAATGTGTGGGGGCACATTGCGCCCTCAGCACGTCATCTGTTGCTGCAGCTGTTATTGTTCGGACAGCAGCTGTCCGGAGCGAAAATATCACAGATTCACCGTTCGCAAGACAATAACCTATTCATACGCTGTGTCTCACGTTGAGGTTGATGTTGCATACATCATGCTTACTCACCTCAGTTAGGTTCCACGGACTTACACTTAGTATAGATTTTCCCAATCTGTATAGAAAGTATTCCACTTTATTTGATGTGCTCAGTTCTGTAATTCTGGTACATATTTTGTTTTAATTTGCGTGTTCATTGTCCATCCTATTCTGTGTTTCTTAGTTGACAACCCCCGTTTGGCTGCGCTTGATGTGAATACTGACGAAAGGAAGTCTGTCTTTTATCTTTCACCTGGGTTACTGGTTCCAGGAGACTTCAATCGTTACTGGGAGGTGGGGTGAACGATCTACATGGCCTTGCTAAGCTCAACGAGTGGTTCTATCCAGTGTATAGCCGCCTACGGTTCATCCACCGCATTGTTCAAGTCTAGTACGCATGATTCTCAAATTAGATAGACAAGAATGTTGCTGCTATGCACCTTGAAAGAGTGTGGGCCGGCTCCATTGGTGAAACGTGGCTCCCACCCACATGCGTCCCAGTCTAATTCCTCCGGGTTTTCACTGGAATGTCATTGTAAATGGGGCTGTGAGTAGTGCACCGCCGGCCAGTCAAGACCCTCAATAGGTACAGGCGTCCCGTGACTATCTTATGGAGCCTGCAGTGACAGACAACTCCGGAATCGGATGTCGATAACCAAGATTGATACGGATGGCTTCTGTCTTATTCTGCCATTGTGCCACTTTTTTCGCTGAGCGGTTGAGTGCAGTGGCTACGTGGGGTAATGATACTGTCACATGCACCTGATGTATATTGTAACCTACAGGTTGGCCCTGCTGCGATGCGTATTACCGGCCATCAGCAAGTTCGGCTCCCTACGGGCTGACATGCCGAATTACCTCCTCGTGGTGCCAGCTGGGTGGTTCGGATGTACCCCGTTCCAGCGAAGTGTTCGGCGACAGTGATCTACCTCAGGGGGACATTGTAGTCCAGCAATTGTGCTGATTTCGTGGGGAGTATTGGGCGCCTGTTTAGTGATCTACCAAATA